TTTTTTTTTTAAGAAAGAAGGTGCCCTTGTTTCTTTCTTTTTTTCTTTCTCTCTTTTTCCTGATGTGCAGGCCGTGGGATCCTGGAGGCGCCACAAGATAGCACCGCTCTGTTAGGAAAAGTCCCCCAGAAGTAGGGCATGTGGGGTCCCATTTTTCTTCTACGTCCAGTGCACTGCACCTCCACCTTTCGAAAAAGGTGCAGTGCACTGGACGTAGAAGAAAAGAGGTGCCCTTGTTTCTTTCTTTCTTTCTTCCTTTCTTTGAACATTTACGTTGAACATTTACGTCCTTTGGAAAAAGAAAAGAGGTGCCAGGATCAGACCCTTAGGGGGTGCAACTTGAGGCTTGCAGCACATCCACTGGTTGCTATTTTTTGAAAATCTATTTTACCGAAGAACATCTTTTATCGGTTATAGACCCTCAGGATGCCTGAGGTGCCAGGATGGGTTTCTGAACACACACCCACTCGTGGTACTTGCTCCCTCTCTCCCTTGTGCTCACCACAACCAGTAGCTCTCCCAGCGCCGCCTGTGGCTCTCCCACTGCATCCAGTAGTGCTGCTGCCGTACTACAGTCTTCCCCCGACCCTGAATACAACCTACGGTCATTATAGCTGAATTTAGACTGACAGATATCCCAAATTCAGCTATAATGACGGTACGTTGTATTTGGGGGAAGCATGTAGTCCCATCGGTATCACCTGCAGTGGAACTACACATATCTGTCCTGCAATCTTTTTTTTCTTTTTTTTCTTTTTTCAAACACACCCCCTGCAGTGCTAGTGCTGCTGGTAAGAGCAGGCATCACTAGCACCCGGGGCCTCTTTCTTCCCTTCTTTCCTCACAGTAGGTGGGGGCAGTCGGTTGGAGTGCGAGACCGCTACTCTCGCATTGGCAATACAGCCGTTGGTTGGTTGGAGGGAGAGACCGCTACTCTCATTGGCAATACAAGTAGGTCCAAAGTCTTCCCCGGTTAGGGAGTACGTTGGGCACTGGGCCCCAGTTTCTTTCATCACAAAGATAAAGAAGGAGAAAAAGAAAAAGAGAAAGGACCCTTTTGTGGGGTTAACTTGAAGCAGGGATGAGCTTGGGTTCTCTTTGTTTGACTCGGACTTGGTTCCGTTTCCGTTCTTTTTTTTTTCTTTTTCCTTTTTTTTTTTTTAAATAAACTTCTGGTGACTCGTGGGGAGAGCGACACTTGGGAGAGTGATAAGAGCATTCCTTTCTTGTCATCTGGTTGCACTACCGTCTTCGCCCGAATAGAACTCCCGGTCATTATCGCTGCATCTCTGGACAGAAAATGGGCCCAAATACGGCTATAATGACCGGGCATTATGTTCCGGTGAAGACGGTACTACTCAAACTGAGGTCTGTATTTCAACAGTTCATGGTACTAACTGAACTGAGCTATAAGCCCATTGCTGCTTAGGGTCTCGCCGCACGGCACACGAAACGAAAACGAAACGAGTGCATCTGCCCACCAAAGGTGGCAAAATACAGTCGTTACTATTTATAGCAAACCGACGAACCTGGCCTTTCTCTGGGGGAAGATACGTTCGTTTCGTTTTCGTTTCGTGTGCCATGCGGCAACGCCCTTAGTTGTATTTCCGGGTACTACTGCAGTGCCGGAGAGTATTTTACTATTTCTACGGGACCGAGGCTGGGTAATTAATAATTGCAGTCCCACAAACTCCTCCCATGTAGACTGTGAGGGACCAGGGACTCATGTTTTCAGTTTTTTTTTTTTAATATAAAATTAAAAAAAGGCTAATTCTTTTTCCAAGCTCAAACTTTGTTTTTTCTCTCTCTGTTTCTTTTTTTTTAAATAGAAAAGGGGGATGGCCTTGAGGTATCTTCATTAAACCACCAGTACCTTTCCCCGCTTTAAAAAACAAATGCCCGGCGGTTAACACAGGGGGATGGGGCAGCCTCGGCAGTACCGGAATGAAATGGCTGGAGGCGCCAGCCAAATTCGATAGCGCGGCGGTTCATTTTTTTTTTGGCGCGCAGTTCGATTTAGGCACGGCACCGACAGCTGAGAAAGGTACTGGAGGTTTAAATTCCAAGGTATTTTAAATATTATATGCATCTGATTCCATGAGTGTTCGAGCTCAGACCTGCTTATCAACAGTTCATGGGTGTAACATTCAGCCACATGTGCTGCACTGGATTTATTTCTTTTTTTAAGAATAAGGAAAAGGGGTTACTCAGCCCCTCCCCCCTCCCCCCTCCCCCCTAATACCTGTGGGTATTTCACAAAAAAACACTACTAACCCAGTGTGCTTTTGCAGGTCGTGGATGTGTCTAAGCAAATTGCAGATGGTGCAGCTGTTGGCTATGAGGTGGCAAAAACACTTTTTGAGAGTGTGCTGGCGGCGCTGAAGCCTGCGGTTGAAGTGGCAGCGCCCGTTGTGCAGCAAGCGACGGACGTCACCATCAGGGCAGCAGTCCCGGTTGCTGAGTCTCTAGCGGAGGAGGCCCAGAAAGCTCTTGAGCAGGCAGGGATAGACACACATCCAGCACTCGAGGCTGCAAAGGTAAGGAGGGAAGGAGTGAAGTAAGCAGGAAGTAGAAGAAGAAGAAGAAGAAGAAGTAGAAGAAGTAGAAGAAGAAGAAGACTGGTTATGGTGTGTGTGTGTGTGTGTGTGTGTGTGTGTGTGTGTGTGTGTGTGTGTGTGTGTGTGTGTGTGTGAATGTATTGGTTTGAAGGTAGAATGCATGCAGGAAACAAATGTGGAAAATGCCAGAATAGGAAGGATGGAAGATGGGAGGAATGGAAAGGCTGTGGGGAACCGTTTTTGCTTTTTGATGTTCTGGTTTTCTTCTTCTTTTTCCGTTTCTCTAATCTTTTATAATTTCATCGCCGCTCAGCGACCTATTGCCCCTCCGCATTTGTGTGGTTGAGTGGGACTCTAAAGAAACAAACTGCCAGCTGACATGTGGAGGGCATTTGTTGAGCAGATGATGCCGAACAGATGCTATCGATCAATGCTGCTGATGCTGACATGGGATTATATCTACACGTACTTGGGCCTGATGATGCCCTTGGGTAGTTAGCAGCTGTCTCCCTGTCTGCATTGCTTGTCTTTCTATCTGTCCTTTCTTTGAACTCATGCTTTCTATGATTCACTTCCAGTTCCAAGTTCCAAGTCCCAAGTCCCAAGTCCCAAGTTCCAAGTTCCAAGTTCCAAGTTCCAAGTTCCAAGTGAGGTCACTACCCTGCGTTAGAAGCTATCTCTACATTGCTTATGGTTCTATGTCCCTTATGTCCTTTCTTTGAACGAATGGTTTCCATGATCCATTTCCAGTCCCAAGTTTCAAGTTCGAAGTCCCAAGTCCCAAGTCCCAAGTGAACTCTCACTACACTTTTCAGAAGCTAACTCTACGATATAGGGTTCAGCCTCCTGATGAGTCGGTGAAACTCCGACGAAACAGTTTGTCACAGCCCCTCGTTTGTTGTCCTCTTCTCTCTCTCTGCCTACGGTTTACCGGGCAGTTCGATTTGTGACGATATATATATATATCATACTTGCGGCGCATTTGTGCGGTGCGCGATGCGGTGCGCTGCG